ATGCGATTTTTCAAAACACATATAAGGAAAGGTTCGATTGTCATGAAACTTGGTGGGTAGGTAGTTAATCGTACTAGTATGCAAAGTTGGAAGTGACGTCACGATGACGTCATCGTTTTTTATGATTTTTTAAATATTTATAATTTTATTCTGCTTCCAAAAATTGCACACTTTTTTCATCGGATTGACATTAAACTTGGTTCAAACCAAGACCACAATGACAAGATGTGCATTGACAAGAGTTTCAAAGATGACGTCATTGCAGGGCATGTGACGTCATGTGATACAATTATATTTTAGGAATTATTCTAAGCATTTTGAACAACCTTTAACTGCATGATGCACTCTGAAACCTGATTGCAAAAGGACCAACGAAACATAAATATTTGTAAAATGCGAAAAAGCCCTGTGTTCTGTTTGCAAACAGACATAAAGCTCTAGTTTTTCCTTCTTTTTGGCGCCAAAAATCCCATAGACTTTGTACACGATTTTTCTCTGCAGCACTTTGGGTATTAATCTTTGTCAGACATCATTCAAAGTTGGCATAAGCATAGTCCCTATAGCAAAGATGTGTCCCGAAGATTGATGTCATGGTGACGTCATCGACTAATTTATTATAGAATTTTGAATATTTAATTTTGCCCATAGACTTTGTACACAGAAATAAAAACAAAATTGCCGATTTTCAAAGTGCATTTTCGACTGTTTGCCATTTATTCATTTACACCACTCTTTGTTCAAGCAAAGACCCTAAATCAAACAACATTGTGTGATGATGACGTCATGATGACGTCATCCGGTATTTATTTAAAGGCAATTAAATTGTGACACTTTTAATATTAAAAAATGCATAAGAAATCAACCGTACGCGTCCGCAGCATTCTGTTGCCGGCCAGTGGTAGAGTAGGTTGAGGTCTTTATTTCATTCAGTGTGCGTGCAATCACGTGACCCTTGCTTCCGGTCGAAAAAGGCCGAAACCGGAAGTGGCTTATTATTTAAAAGTGGTAATAGATATGAACTTGCTTTCAACGGTGTTAGTCTCTTGGCTGATAGCAGTGTTGGAGCAAAGGCTTAAACCTTCAAGGAAAGGCCAAGGCCAAGGCTTTGACCCTCAAGGCCAAAGCCAAGGCCAAGGTTTAGACCTTCAAGCCTCGAGGCCAAGACCAAGGCTTAACCCTCAAGGCTAAGGCCAAGGCCCAGGCCCTCTTTTACAAAATGACCACTGATATAGAACTAATTATAGTCACATGACACATCATCACGAATCGCCCATTAAGAAGAACAACATGTCTTAAATTGCAATCAACATGCTCGCATACACCGTTTTATGACTGCATTAGATCTATTCAAGTATAAGTTCAGGTCTTCAATATGGTTTAACTAAAACAAAATAAAGATTTACTTCTATATTGACGCACAATTCTCCCGAGTGTAACAAAAAGGGGATCCAAGAAACTGATTTGGGAAATTTTTATTTGCTGGGCCAACATGGTCAGAAATATCAGCATTATCTGAAACAGATACATGCAAATCTTAAGCACTTATCAGGGAGACATACAACCAATCAGATATCTATTCCATAATTGTATGCAATTTAAGTGATCATCTCATTAGCCCCACAAGTGTACAGAATATTTTTGCAGCAAATCTACTACAATGGTAACAACATGTGATGCTATAAAGTGGAAGTGTGCCCAACACACAAATCTACAAGGGGTTTCCCTCCTCCATGGTAATACGATTAAAATGGTAACAGCAAAATTTCGAACAGATTTATCTGGAAAATGCAAAAATCTATGAGCCTTGAAGAGCCTTGACTCAAAATTGTAAGGCCGTGATCCCTCAAGGCCAAGGCCAAGGCTTTTGCCCTCAAGCCTCGAGGCCAAGGCCAAGGCCCTAACATCCAGCCTTAAGGCAGCCTTAAGGCCAAGGCCCAGCATCAAGGCACTACATCACTGGCTCATAGTATTCTTTAATCATCTACCGATGACGTCATGCAATCTTCGAGCGCCCTCTAGCGACAGGTTGAACATTTTCAAAAATGTATTTTGAATAGATGTCTGTGGCGAAGTTTGTCGGAATCACCCAAATATTGGTGTATATGATGACCTTGACCCACTTAAGACGTGTGCGAAGTTTTAGGCGTATGACGTCATCAGACCGGAAGTTCCGTTGAAAATACCTTTCCTTTTTTCAAAAATTGCTAACAAATCAATCCGTACAGATATAATCTTGAATTGCCCATTAAATGATAGCGTAAACATTTGCCTCAACAGTGCCAAGTTCCCAGCTTGTCAATTTGTTCACACAGTTGACGCGGCGTCGTATAAAAAATGCCTTGTCCAAAGTGAGCATAAACCGCAAGTGTGTGCATGTATACATTGACCAGATTCGGCATCGCCTGCTTCCCATACACCACACATGCACGTGGTCGTGAGGGCGTGTTTTATCAGGACTTCAGGTAAAATTACCTGTATACCACGAACGTACATGTACATAGCTTACGTATAACTGCCAAACTGTCGTCTTGAAAAAACAAGAGGACTACATGTATATGCACATGCATAGTGAGTGTTCATATCGGCACTTTATCTAGCTAGCACACTGTAATTTCACTTTTGGCCGTTGTGATTGTATTGTGCCACTTTTTTACTGCCAGGCCAAGTGCATATCTCATCACGAGTTGTGACTGGTGAACATCGTAAACGGTGTATGGTATAAATATTCACATGATTGGGGGCGATTCTCTTTACAGAATTTCATTGATTGATTGACAATGTAATAAACCCCCAAACAGGTGATCGCGATATAGAGTTTGCCTTTTGTTTTGTATTAAATGCAAAGTGGTCCTCAAAATGACAAGTACCCCTCTGTAGACCTTTTCAAGATGGACAACTGCTCCTCGAAAGCTTAATTAGTCGACCGCTCACAACATTGAAATTGTGGCTCTCCTGAAGAAGGAAACTGACTCCTAAACATAATAGTGCTTTTCACGCAAATAAAACGGACGCTGAACTGGCCACCAAAAGCAAGTGCCGCTCTCGCAATTACAAAAAATGGAGATGCACTATCAATTTGCCCAATGAAGACAATGTGTCTAATTGTGCCCCGACCATTCTCAACGCGGTATCTGAGAAACACTAATGGGAAGAAAGTTTGACATCTTTGAAATGGTGTATAAAAGTTTCGTCAGAAATGTTTATTAAAAATGAGCTTTGATGAATGACATGAACGGTAAACATTTTCAGGAAAACGAATTACATTTTACAAAAATGACACTTTAGTTGTTAAAATGTTAATAATAATTGATAACATAACTAATCTGTAATTGAAAAAGTAATCTCAAATATTTTATTTGTCAAAAGAATTATCTTTAGTCTAAAACTATAGTATTGTACATATTTCAAACTGCAGACAAGACTTATGGTATTGTATGAATGAGATTGGCTACATCTTCATGTAATGTAAAGACAACATTCCGCATACATGTACAGTGTACACCCTTTTCTGCACTCTGTACACTTTAAGTATGTGGTTATGGTTTGTCCTAGTGATTTAAAACAAGAATCGTACAAATCAAATTTATCTTCTTCACCCATGATGAAAAAATGGGCAATGACAACGACAAATTTGTGTGCTTGTTACAAGTGAAATCACTGGTTTATGTGGTCATAAATATCTGCACGACAGTAACAAGTTTGAAATTCATTTATTTCGTAAAGTTATGATTACATGAATCTGGGACTGAGGAACGTTTTCAATTGTGTTAGAAAATACTGAAATACTAAGAAAATGTTCTTGACTCTCTATAGACTCTCTACAACTGCCAAAGTGGCGTCAGGTTGCAACAGTTTTTTGCGTCACACGTATAATGTGTTGGTGTCCCTGTTACATGGCGAGCCATGTTATTTGTCATGTAAGTAGACAATCAAGTCAGAATAAAAAAAACATTATGTTTAAAGTACTAAGATCCACCAGTGCTATAATTTGAAACTGCAAAAGGTTAAAGAAAATATTTTGCATCCATACATAAAGCATGTCTCACTTTGGACCCGTTATTTATAGAGTGACAAGATGACAAGATGAAAAACTTGAAGATAATTGCTATTCACATATCAATTGCCAGACTTTACATAAACATTTAGGCTTATGTCACTAGCAGTCACGAATTATCTCATGAAGCCAACAAGGTCTGTCACTGCATGGAATGCAAAATAACAATGTTCCCCGCACTACCGTGATGGGTTTGTTATGAGTGTTCTTTTGGACATGCAAGCAGTCTTTGTGTACATTTCACGGTTGTTCATATGTGAGAGAATGATACACACGTAGCTTGTAACAGCAGAAGTCAATTTGGGTTCTTAATACTGGCTGAGATTGTAGAATCACCAAGTAACTCCGTATAGCTGGAAATGTGTGATGGAAGAATGTTGCCGACAGTGTGGAAGCAGATAGGTTGGCATAGCTTCATTTCATGGGCTACAGAATTTGCGTCCCTGAATAGAATAAAATGCGAAATGGTTCATTGGAAAAAGTACCATACTAAAATCATGTCTGCTAAAAAAAAGCATATCAAATATCACTTGCCAAATTTTTAGCACCTACTGGACACAAACACTTTAAAAGCTGCCACTTGCACTTCAAGTACAATATTTGCAGGAAGAGTTAAAGGTTTGCATGGTGGACATGATCAATGAATGGGAGTTATGCAGAAACACCATGTGATTGACATCTCATTTGAATTGTGTGGTTCTGAGAAAACTGGTTCTTCTAAGAATCACACAAATCACAAAGAGATATCATTCACATGGTGTTTGATTATAGCGCAAACCTCTCATTCATTGAGCTTAGTCAGTACTCAAAGAAACTATACACAGAAGCTAGCAAGTCTTTTAAAGAAAGAGTCTTGATCTACATGTTTAATCTCCAATACCACCCCCCCCCTTAAAAAAAAACAAGTCAAACAAGCTCACTCACCAGAATAATTTTGAATACTGGCATGCACACTGATACTGATGCAAAGCACACTGGTGATAACTTTGAGAAAAGATGTCGATTTCAGCCTGATGACTTCTATGTACAATCGAGTGGAAACAAGAACGACATGTATAAGAATCTCTTAGCTTCATTAAAAAATGAGAGTCAAAGGTTTGGATGGTGGACATGATCAATGAATGGGATTTATGCAGAAACTCTATGTGTTTGACATCTCATTTGAATTGTGTAGTTCTGAGAAAACTGGTTCTTCTCAGAATCACACAAATCACAATAGATATCGTTCACATGGTGTTTGATTTTAGCGTAAACCTCTCATTCATTGAGCTCAGATGCAGTACTCAAAGAAACTACACAGAAGCTAGCAAGTCTTTTGAAGAAAGAGTCTTGATCTACATATTTACCCCTGCCCCCCTCTCTCTCTTTAAAAAACAATTCAAACAAGCCCACTCACCTGAACAATGTTGAATACTGGCATGCACACTGATACTGATGCAAAGCACACTGGTGATAACTTTGAAAAAGATGTCGATTTGAGCCTCATGACTTCTATGTACAAAAAAGTGGATACAAGAACGACATGTATGAGAATCTATTAGCTTCATTAAAAAATGAGAGTTAAAGGTTTGGATAATGGACATGATAAATGAATAGGATTTATGCAGAAACACTATGTGATTGATATTTCTTTTGAATTGTGTGGTTCTGAGAAAACTGGTTCTTCTCGGAACCACACAAATCACAGAGATATCATTCAAATGTTTTTTTTAGAGCAAATCTCCCATTCATTGAGTTTAGATTCAGTACTCAAAGAAACTATACACAAGCTAGCAAGTCTTTTGAAAGAAAGAGTCTTGAGCAACATGTATACTACCCACCCCACCCTCACCCCTTACAGCTCACTCACCTGAACAATGTTGAATACTGGCATGCACACTGATGCTGATGCAAAGCACACTGGTGATAACTTTGTGTGAAAAGATGTCGATTTCAGCCTGATGACTTCTATGTACAAATAAGTGGATACAAGAACGACATATATAAGAATCTATTAGCTTCATAAAAAAAATGAGAGTTAAAGGTTTGGATGGTGGACATGATCAATGAGCAAGCAAGTCTTAGTTTGTGAAAGTAAACCACAATGGATGTCAGAATATTCATCTGAAAAGGTGAAAAGATGACACCTCTTAGAAGCTTGTACTCCCACTACTCTTCATGCAAAGATTAAATTTAGCTTGTCAAAAAAGGAATATACATGTATACTTTACAGTTATTCATTAGACATTGAAATTACACGTACATTAATTTTTGGGGGGAAAACGTTATGTGATACAAATGATGATTATTCACTAAACTATTGCTAGTAAGTTGACATGCAGAGTTCTGAAGATGTTTGAATCTTGATCTTTCAAGATAATGTTTGACAATATCTTCAATAAAATTGCTCGAATTATATAGTTATAAAAATTGCTACATGGTAACTGTAATAAGTCGGAATCACTGCAGCATCTACCATATCCATATTTCTGACATAAACGTGGTCAATCAATGTGCCGTTTTCTGTTGTTTCATCATTAACACACTGTCTATAACCATAATCTTGTATTAACTTTTCAATCTGTGAACAGTGTTTCAGAATGTCTTCATTAAAATCGCCCATTTTACAATGCATCTATTGGACACTTTATGAAGTTCACTCAGCAAAATTTTAAGATAGTCAACAAATTCGTTCATCAAATATGAAGCCGGACGATAAATTACTGCCACACAGTATGACATCTGACTAATTATCTGAAATGCAATATGCTCTAGATTCTGAACAGGAAGAGTCAGTCTGCTAAATGTTCTGTTCTTTCTACCAAATACTGCTACACCTCCACGACATTGCTGCTTTAACGTTTGTGTTAGTTTACTTGTATTATCATATGAAGCACTTTTCCCAGTTCCAGCTCCACCTGTCACAAATACATGAAATGGTTCAGGATTTTTCCCATTTATTTTTTGTAAGCACCAATTACGAATCTTATTAAAGACCTGTCTCTGCTCTACGTTCAATGATTTTAATAAATGTAGTGCTTCTTGCTTTGATATTTTTGCTGGATGTGGTTCAATACTACATATTTTTTTCTACCATTGCATCAGCTTGCAAATCAGGGATATCAATTCATTGTCTTCCTCTGATACTTCTTCACGTTCTGCTTCACACTCAAGTCTCTCTTGCTCAGCCTTAGGACAAATCAAAGCCCATGCATCTTCCTGAAGACCAAATTTTTTCAGATACTGTTCTGCCGCTTCAAGAGACTCAACATTTTTTTCATATATGGAGCGGTTACTTTCAAGAATGTACCTCACAGATTTCAATTGACCATTAAGATTTACTTCACCATTTTTATAAAATTCTGCAAATGTTTCAAACTGAGGTGGTTTCAAATGCACATCTACACGATATGGAAGAAACAACTGCAATATACTTTGGTAATATTTCTCAGGATATTTACTCTCTGAAAATCTAGGGTATCTTATCACTGCAGGTTCAGTTTTACTGCGTTTCTGTATGTGACCCAAACCATCTTTCAGTTCATACACTGGTGATTTGTTTTTCTTGTTAGTGTTTGCATTATATATTATCCTGTATTCTGAGCAAAATGTGGCAAGGCACATCACATTAAATTCATCAAGATCTGGTCTTGCTTTCATCACTTTCACTTGAATTATTAGATTCATCCTCTTCTTGGTTTTCATGTTCATCTTTCAAAGGATTGTCCCATTCACAGTTAATCTCAATTGCACTATACGATTCATAATGCTCCTTTAGATAACGTAGTGCACGCTCAACATATGTTCTCTGCTGACATATTGATACTGATAATATCCTTTGAATGACAATTTTCTCTTCAACTTAACTTTGATTAACTGATTGTTATTTCCACATCTAGGTAATGATGTTACTGTTTCTGAAATATTTGATGGTACACATACAACTGGCCGCAGCATTCTGACCTCCTCTGGGTAAAGCCATCATTTTCATAAATGCTACATTAATTGCAATCAGATGTTCCTCCAATGTATTCAAACAGCTCAATTCCTCAGGGATCTCTTCCAATGCCAAATTGTTTGCACAAGATTCTGCTGGTATCTTATTCTGAAGCAATTTTCTATGACATGTAAAGCAAATCCACAAACTTGATCTACTTGATTTTGACACACGACACGTATCACCACAGTTTCTGTTGGCTTCACATGTATGCAAAAACTTACCAGATATGCTATCAACACATTTATATTTGTCTTGATTACACTTTACCACCTGCTTTCGAAAAAGGAGTTTATGACAAACTGCACATATGTATTCAGGTCCTGATGATAGTACATCTTGCCTCCAATTTCTTATTACATTGCTCATAATACGTTGACTTGATCTCTTTCTATTTGCTCCTTGAGGATAAATCACTATGGTACTTCTTTTTCATAGATTTAATGAGATCATTTCTATATGATACATCACTGTGGTACTTCTCTTTCATAGATTTAATAAGGCCATTTCTATATGATACATCACTGTGGTACTTCTTTTTCATAGATTTTATAAGACCATTTCTGTATGATATATCATTGTGGTATTTTTTTTTTTGCAGTATTAAACTTTTGTTGTTTATACACTTTATTCTCATGGTATGTTTGCCTCATGACTCCAGTAATCTTTGCTGCATTGTCTCTGTATCTTTTTTTGCCATACTCAATAGCACCTTGTCTGTATTCCACACATTTATGGTATTTTTCTTTCTTTGCACACTCCTTTTTTTTCCTGCAGTCACTCTTTACTTTGTGTTTTTGTACATGCTCTTCATTTTGTTCATCTTTCTTTCTTTGATATCTTTTTCTTTGACGGTCTCTATCAGATTTTTGCCTCATCCTTAAGTTTGCACGTTTACGTCTCTTTGAAGTTTTCAACACTGGTGTTTTGGATGAATTTCTATCATGCTTCTCATTATTGTCTAGAACCTTTCTTCTGAACCCACGTACACTTGTCACTAAATCGTAATGTATTTGATTCTTGTGATACAAATAAATTCCTGACTTTATACAACTACCGGTATCAGTACTACTGGCTGGACATATTTCTATTTGAAAATAAATACCACTTATTAACATCATCATACGTATAAATACCGACATCCAACATGTGTGCTGTTACAATGATTTCGACCTCAGTAGCCCATGTACCATGATAACACAATCGCTCCCTCATTACATAGTCTTCCACTGTTGTATAACCTTCACGTAAATATCCCTTGAACAAAGCTGCATTCTCCAACAAATGAAGAACAATTGCCAATCTCAGTAACATATGATTATCTTCAGTCCCTGATATAGTATGAAACTAATAGCTCTGTAGAAACAGTTACCATCACCTTGGATTGTCTTTATAGAATCAGGTTTACTCAACTGCTCACATCTCACGGGAATTTCATGAGCATCTAGACAAAGTGTTGTCAGACCATATTTTTGACACAATGCAATCTTATGGTCATAATCTAATGGAACAAATTTCAAATTGACTAGTTGATAAGATTGTTTAATTTCTACATCACGTTCACTATGTTCTTTTCTTTGTACGTTACTACAAGATGGTTCACTGCTTCCACTGACAGTTTCACCATCATTACAGATACTGACATCATCTACCCAGACAGTAACACCTGTAATTTCAAACTGTTCATTGTCACTGACATTCATAGACTTTCCAAGTTCAGTACAATACCTGCACACACCTTGCCATGATGACACACATTTGAGCAAGCTTCTGCCTTCACTGTGCTGATGTCCATGCTGATTTCTAGAATGTGAATCAAAAATGTAATACATTCCATCTTTAGCAATTACTGCAAATGTGTTGCCTTTGAAACAATGAAACAGGCACAGTATTTCTGAATTGTCTGCTCTACTGCCCTACTCAACGGAATCATATTGAACTCAGTCAGATGTCCTTCTTCTGCAAAAGTGCCAGAAACAGATTCAGCAATCTTCATGTGGAAACATTTACCAAATGCATCTATCTTATCAGGCAACTCACTGATTAACAAATATTCATTCATCATTGTAGAGCTCCGAGACAAACAACTGTACAATTCATTCCCAGTATTCAACACAAAATCCACGTCTTTGCAACTCCACATAATTAACGGCTTAATTCGGCTATAGAGGATTCCACACAGGCTCATACAAACACATTGTCTTCCAGCCAGTTCCGCAAATCTGAGATCACCTTGATGGAAGCTACCTTGAATACATCCGATTTCTTTAGTCTCATTAATCTGTTGATTGTCTTGACAAGAACAACTGTGTTTACTACTACATGTACATACATGTATTTTGGCTCTGAGTTTTCTCGTCACAATCTTGTGCTAAATCTTCCATGTTGTCTCCAGCTTTTCTTTTGGACTTAATTTTCTCAACACTGTTCTTTTCATTCTGTATGAACACTCGCTCTTTCCTTCTACTTTTGCCATTAACATCTCTACTTTTCCTTGCAGACTGACCTCTTGTCCTCTGTACATTGTCTTGATTGTCCTCATTCCTACCTTTCCACTACTACAACTAATCTCAGCATTACTTTTCTTGCTGCGTAAAAAATAACCTCCAGTCTGCTGAACAATGCAACATCTTTCACCTGTATTTAAACATGCATGTTTGCAGTCCATGTTATCTACATGCTCAATTTTGTCATTGCCTGCCTGTTCCTCACCTCTCATTTCCATGTACAGTCAGTGGCGGAGATTTCTTGTTACAGGTGGGGGGGGGGGTGATTTTTGAAAGGCCCTTCTTTGTGTGGAACGCGACACGGCACGGGGTCCAAGAAACCGCTTAAGGGCCCCCTGGTGGGTTGCAGGCACAAGGCCCTTGCTAGGGGTTGAGGTAAACCCCCCCCCTGGGGTTTACACAATTTTAGTTGCAAAATGGTGTCAAAATTTAACCTTTTCTTGAGCTTGAATTGCA